TATCAAGAACGCAACCTAAATTTGGGGGACTTGCCGATCTATCAAAAACGCAACCGCCGATCTATCAAAAACGAAACAGTACGATAACCATCATGTGACTGTGACATTCACATTATTTTATGGTCGTACAGCATATAGAAAAGTAAGGATTATGTTATCGCTGTGTAGAAGGATATTACCCTTCGACGCTAGGTCACGCGTAATTGGTTTGTATGACTTCCGTACGTAACCTTTTGCTTTGTTTGTTTCGTTCAATTATCATATTACTTCTTTCTTTATAGGTGCCCGCGCGTTTCACGCAACACCAACGCTCTTCAAGCTTCGCCCGATAATAAAAAAGAAGAAACATCAAGCAGCAAAAGCTGCCAGACGAGAAAAGGAAGCAGCATTATTACCGAATGTCGTAACCGGTATTTCTACTCCTTTCACACAGTCATTACTTCGCCCTGAAATTGTCTATCAATCAGCATCGAACGTCGAGCCGTCTAAACCGACGCTCCCATGGATGAATGCTCATTTTCTGGATCAAGAAGCCGAGAAACTTTTGTTTGAGACTACACCTGAAGCAGTTGCTCATTCAAGAATAGATCCAACAATTGGAGTCGATCAGCAAAAAGAGAGAGAAGAGGAGAAAGTGAAACTATTGAAGAACGTGATTGGACTACACAATGCTAGTGCCAAAGGAATAATGTTATGTAATAAACAACTGGCAATTAAGGAATTTTCGAGAATTGAAGGAGATACTGGAAGTCCCGAGGTTCAAGGTGAGTACGGACTCAAGGGGACCTGACATTACTCGAGAATACATGTCTAATAATTTTATATCAGCTGCATTATGCACTGTGAGAATTCTCAACCTTTATGAACACATCCAAACTCATCGCAAGGATAAACATAATTATCGACAGCTGAGAATAATGGTTCATAAGAGACAGAAAATACTCAAGTATCTGAAGAAGTTAGATTTAGAAAGATACTTTAATTGCCTTAAGCGGCTGGGACTCGATCAGAGAATAATCGAGAGGGAAATCGTGATGTAACACTGGGCATGTACCGTAATTCTTATCGTAAACTGATGGCAAAAGGTTCCTTTTAAATTCTACGCTCATTATTTTAATTCCTTTTAAAACTATACACGTTTTGCTTTATAAGACTTTTTAAAAATAAGATAAAAAAGTAAGTTGTTGGGATGTAAGCCGAGTGGGTAAGGCAGAGAGGACTTTGACTCGATCGTTGGTACAGTACACTACTGCATCATAAAGCGAACAACGTTCACGTGTTTCGTATCAATTAATATTTTGTAGCAGGCAATGTTAAAGTGATACGCTCTATTTAAACTTGTTCGTACAATAATTGGCACTGCACTAATGCGAAGTAAAAGAATACCGTGACATATACGTTCTTGAGGCATTACTGTACATATTGGCTTTATTGAAAATCTCGTCAAAGTAGCAACGCAGTTATCAACAATAAAGTGAGTCGTGAGTAAAGATAATTTCCAAGCTCTTTCAAAGGTATCTCAAAAAGACCCCCTCCAACAATTTTAGTAATACGTACGACATTTATAGTTCACATAGATTAATACGCGTAAGGCAAAATCTTCGCTAATGCTACTGTTGACGTATCGAAGAATTTTGGTCGGACATATGACGCAAATACAACGTGTCGACTTTGTGCATTTATGTTAGAGACAATTCCAGACACGCTTGGTGTTTTATATTGGGTACCGCTATATGTCATTGAAAACAGAACAATGCGAGACAACTTCTCGATTCATAATATTATATTCACCGAACAAATTAATGGAAATTAATCAACGCAACTTTTTACTAATTATATACATATTTTATCACATCCGAACAACTCATCTCGAGTAGTATAGTGGTTAGTATCCCCGCCTGTCACGCGGGAGACCGGGGTTCAATTCCCCGCTCGAGAGATCGCTTGATATATATTTTTTTCCGGAAGCCGAGGATCAACACAACTAAGGCACTTTTGACTCGATGGACGCACTTCAGAGAAGTGTATATAATACCTTTTATTGCTTATTAACTGTGGTCTGTTAGCCACGAATTTATTAAAAGTTCAAGATACTGATGATAGTTCTTTGTCCGATATTTTTTTTATAGACGGCTTAAACGTCGTTATAGTTTTTCATTAATATACCAGTTCACGTACTATTTAACTTTCACCTCCGAATTTCGAGAAAGATATGGGATGCTCTACAACGATACGTTGCGCAATTTGTGATGGGAATGTTCATATCATTAACTTTGTTGCACAATTGTTTTGAACTACCAAAATCTATAAAATCGCGGAAAAGCTATTCATCTTCAAATGAAGTATAAATTATAGCAGACAGCGCCTCTAACTCTGTAATTTCAGATATTGCCTATGGAATACATACAACCATATTAGTTTTCAGACGGAACACGAATCAGCATGCAAACACAATATTTTTACGAACCTCAAGAAATCTGTTAGGAACACCATTAACGACTTGATGTGCTTCTCGAGTAATACCTGGAAGTAATTTCGCAAGCACCATTTCCTTATCTTCTAGTTCGTTGTTGTTAGCATCAGGGGGATAAAAAATGTTATGTATATCGGACAGCATGACGCCAAAAAGTTTATTTAGGACAGCATTTTGTACTATCCAAAAGTCGTTGCTGCAAATTCAAATGAGGAAACGGAAGACTCGGGTTAATAAAGAATATTGGTTTACGAAATGTAATGCAAACTCGACTCGTACCTATCAATAACGTCTTTGGTCTCGTTTAAGAGGTCACGTAGCTCTTTTTCTATAACTGGTTCATTACTGTGGTTACTTCCTTTTCTCAATACTTCCAACTCATCCGACATCTTATCTGGTAACATTATACCACGGAATCTACAATTCAGTAGCAGAGTGAGATTATACATATGTAAAATCATCATCAATGTCCAATAACAACTTACGTTTTTCGCAATTCCGGAGAACCTTCAACATGTGACCTCACTTGGGAAATCATCCATACAATATCCTCGTACTTCACACGCCTATTTACTGGCACGCTGTCACAGGTAAATAGCATAAGTCCTTAATTGTCCAAAACCTAAAAACTAACAACTCACAAAACTTTCGCTTAATGCATACTCTGCGAGTACGGATTGAACCGCAAAGTTCACAGTATCTACGAGATGTCGCCAGCTAACTTGCAACAACCACCACGAAAAAGTTAAATATTTTGTTTCTGTCAACGCGCTTATTGTGCTCCCGGTTGGGTGCTGAATTTGGATTGTTTGCTCGCGATCACGCTCAGTAAGCGAGATTACAGAATGTAAGTAATTAAATCTACCAAGCAAATTTAGTTGGAGATGCGTCAAGAGAGAGAGCAAGGCAAATATATATACAGCTGAAATTGTTCTCATGAAACCTAGGATAGAAAATTAGTCGGTTCAGTCACAAAAGAAGTAAACCAAATAACAGCAAATCACAAACATACTCAACACATACTCTTAATCTTGACCTCTTCCCACAATTCCCTCTTTGTTTTTTTATCCATCACAACCTCGCTTTCTACTGATCCATTAGTCGGCGATTCTGGAATGCTGTCATTCGAAGATGATTCCGGCGTACTCTCGTCTTTTTCCACGGATTGCTCAGTATTGTTGTCCACCCCGTTCTTCTCACTCTCACTGTTAACTTTCGAAGCATCGTCCTCCTGATCGTTATCAGTTGAGTTCGTTGCCGGATCTACCATAACGACAGAAGACGTCGGAGAAAAAATTTTCGTTGATTGCTTCCTATTTCTGGCTTTTTGTAGTTCGTTTATGATGGCATCTACATCGATTTCATTTAAAATGTTATCGGCGACGATATGAAGACAACTTGTAATGGTGTACACGCAGTCAGACTGGCGTTTCTGGAAGCGACGCTTCATGCTTAATTTTTTCAGTTCGTGAAAAGTTAGTTCTAAATCGTACATTATAGCCGTAATCTTCGCAGAACATACTTTTCTCTTGCTGTTCGTTCAGCGGCAGAGCGTTCTTGCCATTCCAAAAACTTCCATTTGGCCCATATCCCTAGGAGATATGTCCCACTGACAGCGAAAGCAGTAATGGTCAAGCTACGTCTGTGCTTTTTAAAGTAATTCTTTAATGAAGTCCACATAATTGTTCATGGGCATTATTGACAGAAGCGGTGCGAAAACCAGTCTGATAAATAGTAACATAGCAGGCAGGCTTTAATTTGATTGGACGATCGCCGAATGAAATTTAGAGATTCCTCACGGTGTTGTATCCAATAAACAACGGGAAAGCAATAAATAATGGCATCCTCGGTACTAATATGCATAACAAATTGTATCACGTAGACGTCTGTTAATTACACGCGATCAGTCTTATTCTATATACGTGAGAAAAAACGTCATTTGGATGTAGGAACATGAAGCAAAAAAGTATCCAATAAACAGAGAATCATCAACGTTCAGAATGTACAGCAAATATGGTGGTTTTGCCAGTAGTTGTTTATACTATGCAACGCTGTTTACATGGAAAAAATAAAACATGTACTAAAACAGTCAGTATTGTGTAGCCGGAGAAGTGGTATTAAAAACAAATAAGCTAAGGCCAGGAACTGCGCGCTGGAGCCACCCGACTAAATGTTGGGCTTGGGCCACCCGGTCACGACCATTAAAGACCCACGCATAAGTTGTATTTGCGAAATTGGTTAGTTGAGGATGCGGTGAACCAACTGGTGGGTAATTTTTAATACCGAAATTGGGAATTGCTCCTCCAATATCGGCAACTACATAAGTAGGGTCTACCAACCCGCGGATTTTATCGTGTTCGTTCAAGTATGCATCAAAGTCAGGGCTGATCATATTAAACGCGCAAGCTCCATCATAATTGTCTCCTCTTCCGTCAATCCAAGGACGTCCGGCGAGAAGCTTAATAATCGGCATAAGATCCTTATCATTCCAATGATTAGGTGTTTTTTTTGACAGCTCTTTTACAGGTTCCAACAGAAGTTTACCTGAAAGTATAAAGTGATAAGTTTAAACATGAAAAATTCGGTTTATAGAATATTTAGAGATAAAAGTAATACCTTCGAGAGGTACTGGGTTTGGTGTTGCTGTACAAAAAAAATCTGCTTCATCTGCTTCATCTTCAAATTTATCGCGCCAGTCTTGATACGCAACATCGATCTGCGCTTCGATATTTAAAGTCTTATCTTTCTCAGTAACTCTTGTTTTTTTCTTTTGGTCTCCATTTTCCCTGTTTCTCCTCTGCCCTTTTCCAAAGATCGCTCTAAATAAAAAAGTGTATTAGGGCACGAAAGAGAACAGGTATGTTATAATCAGCTAGCTTACTTTGTACCAAACACCATTTTTTTTTTTTTGTAAATTCGGCTTTCTCAAGTTATGTGGTAAAACTGGAAGAGTTATACTCGACGCGAGAAAGGTAAAATGATCGGGAGAATGATTCACGTAAATTTATTGCATCACGCGATGAATCAGTTACACACATCACGTTAATTAAGCTATTGTGATGACTTCATATTTCGTTTTTTTTCGCCTTTGTTACACTGACAATGTATTATCATCCCCCAACTATCCAGTTGAAACTTTGCCAACGGTAGAAACATACTTTTACGAGTATACAGTTTAATAATCCCCAGAAATCCCACAAGTTTACCTAGTGGCATGGAGAACCAATATCCCACATGACAGTGGGGAGAAGATTGTAGGAGCTTGGGTATAGAAATGCTCTTCCAATTGACACACCAATGCTCACAGACAATCATAAGGCAAAACGAGTCGAATGGGCCACTAATCACTTACATGATAATTGGGAAACGACCTTGTTTTCTGATGAAACAGCATTTAATCTATTTAGAAACACAATTAGACAATGGTATGAGGGTCCTAAGCCCATTAGGCCACATCCCAAAAATAGACAAAAGGTTTTTGCTTGGGGCGGATTTTGTGCTAAGGGGAAGACAAGTCTATTCTGTTCACTGAGACAATGAATGCAGAATTTTATGCTGGAATATTGCGTCAACATTATCCAGAAATGCGGAGAATGCTCGGCAGACGGTGGAGATTTCAGCAAGATTACGATCCAAAGCATACGAGTCGTATTGCTAAAACGTTCCTTGCTGAAACAGTCCGGAGCTTAATCCTATAGAAAATCTGTAAAGTATTGTCAAACATAATGTAGAAAAGCGTATTCCAACAAATATTAGCGAGTTAAAGCAGTACTTGGTTGAAGGTGGGAAGAAATTCCAAGCTCTATGTTGTCTAATCAATGAATCGCCGTTGTCAAATGATAATTGACAATATTTTTTTTTGTTACACACTATATATAAGACAAAGGAACCATCGGATTGCTCTTCAGTGCGTTACTGCTTATCGATCAAGCATCGCGGGGGACTTCCATTTATCGAACAACCGGGCCAGTGAAGTGGGAGCTTCCATTTTATCGAACAATCGGGCCAGTGAAGTGGGAGCTTCCATTTTATCGAACAACCGGGCCAGTGAAGTGGGAGCTTCCATTCTATCGAACAACCGGGCCAGTGAAGTGGGAGCTTCCATTTTATCGAACAACCGGGCCAGTGAAGTGGGAGCTGGTTTAGGTATATTAATATTAATATTAACTGTGATGATTTGACAGTTTGTTATAGTGATTATCATTCTGATGAGCCAAAATGGCATTTATTAGATACATGTATGGAATACAGTTATAACGAATTCGACGGGACCAGAGAAAATATTCTTTATAACCAGAAATTCCTTATAACCAAGGTCACTTTTATAGCGAAGATTATAATTATTTATAATTAGGTTCATTATATCCAGATCGCTAAGAACGAATTTTTTTATAATGCTAAATTCACGAGCTAAATCAATACCAGTAATTTTCGGATTTATTTGTTTTTTTAGACATAATTTCTTTTTCTGTTCGCCTGTTAACGCATTACATTTTTTGTATTTAAATTTTCTTGTTCTGCCAAATCTTCGTTATAAGCATTATAACCAGGTTTCTTAATATTAATGAAATTCGCTATAGTCAGTCATATACTCAAATTTGATTGGCTTATCTTCATAACAGATCTTCGTTATAACCAAGCTTCGCTATAACCAGGTTTGACTGTAATTGCAAGTAATCATAATACTAAAGCACCTTGTTACGAGAATATTAGATTCAGATACATATCACCGGAAAAAATTCCTACTGTAAAATCATTTTCACCAGAGAGAAGTACTGTAATCATCTTTGTGTAGCTCCTGAATCCATCCAAAATCGAATTATTCCATTCTTCACACATGGGCGTCATCGAAATATAAGTCCAATTTTTGTTTTGCAGAAATATCACAAAGTTCCAATCATTATTCGTGAAAGTATCACCCACTTAGTACCGTTTAGCTCTGGTAGTTCACATGAAGATGTCTCTAAAATTATTAGGTGATATACTAATGATGTGAAAAATGCTTCCATAGTTATTAACAGATACCTCCATAAAGGAGAATTCATTGTGTTTGACTTAGACAGGCCAGAAGATGATCCACTTGCAATTATAATTAGATTAAGATTCGATACCCCATTAGGTACGTCGCGAAAAAGAAATGCAAAATAAAAAGCTTTTCAAAATATATTCACGTATGGTTTGTTTCGCTCACGTTTTTTATGCGTACGTTGACACATGTTGTCATTTTTGGACAACTCTATCAATGTTCTGTTGTAAAATTTATGATAAAAGAATGGAATCCTTCCATTGTTGCTTCTCTTGTCTTGTTCGATTATAAAATATTCTGTCTCTGCGCACAGATAGAACTGGAGTCAATGAATAAATAATAAAATAATAAAATAAAATGATCTGTTCGATTCTGCATGATATTCCTGGATATTCAAGTAACATGTTATTATTTCTTTCAATTGTTGTTAAAAAGTAATCTTGCCCATACTCGACGCGACTGTTCCTAAATGTAATCTTACACTCCCTGCCAAAGTATAAATACGGTACGAGATTTCACTAGTAAACATATATAATATTGAAATTTTCAAATCGTTAACTTTTAAAGCCAGATAGCTGTAGTTTTAAGCGAGAGATATTAGCAACTTAAAAAAAATATATTATTGTTGCATGTGAGGAGATGAAAGTTTTACATGCTTAATTATTTAATATTAAAATGATCGACATAAAACGTATTTATACTTTTTGTTGAAAATATAGACAGCAATTGGTAATATCTTAAAATCGCTGGCATCTCTCAATTAAAACTACAGTTATTTAGCTTTAAATTTTATTGGTACTTGTTCGAGAAGATGTGGAGAGTTAGCGATTTGAAATTTCATGTTTTACTAGTGAAATCTCGTACCTTTTGGCAGGGGGGTGTCCTAAATAAGGCTCCACTCAAATTTGTAAAATTCTCCGTATTATTTTATTCCAATAATTTTCTTTAGGGACAAACCCTTTCTTTATTTTATTGAATTGAGTGTTAAATAACGTAATTTATTTCATCTAATATTTAATTAACGTTTCCCGAATTCCTCTCAAGGACGCCAACCATCGCTTGAGTAACTTCCTTGACGAACGGATCAGATAAACTGTGTAGGAGCTTCAGTTCGGGGAATTTTCTTTTGTTTCCTTTCTTTGTTTTTTTCGCTCTTTTTTCAAAAAATACAGAATCCATATCATCTGTATCTACATCGTCTTCACTCTCACTCCCCAACCCATCCATAATTTCCTCGACCTCCTTTCCGATATCAACAAATTCTTTCATCCCATTTGTCGGCAATACCATCTGAACATCGGTTTTCGTATCATCAGTATAATACATGTTTTTTAATTTTTGAAGACGTCTTTTCTTTCTCCAGTGATGCCATTGGATTAGAGCATCTAGTTCAGTCAAAAGAGCCGAATGGTCGGATGAGGATGGAAGTGAATTGCGGATTAAAAGCGCAATATCAATCTTTTTAGAAAGGCCGTTCCGAATAAGGCTAATTATCGTTTCCATCCAGAATAAGAGCGAAGAGAAAATGCCCGCGTTGTCATGAGAATAGACCGAGTGAACGAAGAAGTAGAAGCGCTGAACATGACGGTTTACAAGAGATATAAATGTTTGAACCATTGGGTTTGCAGAAGATAAAAGGCCTGGATACAAAATCAGAAAACATGTTCTGCGGTTAAATACAAGACATAAAGGCATTCTTACAATATCGCAGAGAAACGACTAACCTTTATCGTTTATATCTTTAACTACTTCTATGAGGTCGTCTATGAATAACGAGACATCCGCTAGAGATTCACCGACATTGGCCGCCTGTATAATTTTGGTTATTAGCTTATTGGATATAGCTGACGTGCTGTTAATATAAGTAGTTTACCTTGTAGACTTTTGCTAGTGGTTCATAAAATGTGGCAATTATATCCCTTAATAGACTGCTCGTAACACCCTAAGATAACAACCAAATATATATTAATATACTGGACTGTATAATTACATGAACATCCAGTTAATATAAATTGTCGTACTTGAAATATTAAGTCAATCATCATTTCTTTGTCCCGTTTACGAACATGCAGATAAAACAGTTTCTGCAAAGCAACAAACATTTGTTGTTGACTTTTATTCATCTCCGTTTTTGACGTATCAAGACCACCAATTTGCACTAGTTGTTCCAAAGTTAGTTCTGGCTCGATGTGTTTTGTGCACAGTATTGCACATAGAAGTGAATATGTGTCTAAAAAAGTTGATTTAGATGAATATTTCGCAAAGTCATGAATACAAAAGAATTAATTCATCTTATTAGCATACCTCTTTCTCGCCTTTCATCTCTAATCAATCTTTGTACCTCAATAGAAGCATACACATAGTTGCATATCTTCTCACAAATGTTTTCGTCATTAACTATTGCTTTAAATGTTTCAATGTCTTTGTCAATTTCTTTGATTTCCTCACCCAAGTTCGTTGATAACATCCTTTGGAAAACATTTGCAGTCAATATCAGGCACATATGGTGTTTAAATAACTTTTCGGGCGACCCTGGTTACCTCTGTAAAAGACTCTTGGTTCCAAATGGTTGAGCCAAAAATAGATCCAGCATAGCCCTCATAAATGCTAATGGATTCGAAATCTTCAAGATGCCACGTATAATTTTATAAGGCATCAAAGCATGGATACGTTTAAGTTGTGAGAATACTTCGTTGCTATTGCCCGAGCCAACGAACAGATTATACAATATCGATGCAAAACTGTAAAACAAAATCAGGTTAGTCACGTCTCTCTTTGATGACACGTTCGAACACAATACGTTTTGATACTCTAATGTTGGTGTTCCGGCCAACAAATTACAATATAAAAATTTGAGACCGCCAGTGTAGCTTACCCTAAGTTACCTTATTTCAGCCCATTCGATTACTTTCTGATATAGTGGTGGCAATTGTGATACCTCGGTAGTAGTCTGGATGGTATGTGCAAAATGTAACAACCCGCCTATAATTTGCACAAACAGTTGTAATAATAGTTCTATCGGTCTGATAATGCAAAACCATTTAGCACCTACCATTTATGATCAAGTTACGTTTAAACTCTTCAACCTGATCATCAAGCTCCTTGGCTTTGAGTTCGGCCTCTTTTTTGAATGCCCTCTTTTGCTCATTTCTATGTTCATCTAATCTCTTTCTTTCTTCTATATCTTTACGTTCTTCCTCTGTCAGAGTAACGGGATTTTCAAGTAGGAAAGTAGTAAGTCCCCGAAAGTGTGCAAACTCCTTTACGCTCAAAAGGGAGTGCAGGTAACGTTGAACGTTAAGACGATTCCTTTCCCATTTGAGAGTTTGAAATGATCTCGATCTGGACGATGAAGAGACAGCATCATTCATTTTCCTAGGAAGACGTGGAATGTTTGCATCAGGGAATTCGTCCTTAAGCTTGTATGCCATTATGAATGAGTATTAACATCATTAGTTGAATAAATATATGATCAGTGCAATAAAATCTTCCCAATTGCTATACCTTTTACTTACTTTTATACACAATGTGCGGAATTGCTTATAATTTCTCGCAACAACAATATCATTAGCATTTGGCCCTTTTACATTTATAAGATATTCCTGAATATTAATTTATGATTAAAACGCTATGTGTTAAAGATATGTTAAAGTTGTCAATAAAATCAAAAGCCACGACACTCACCGCATAAAAGTTCTCTTTCAACATTCCCTTTTCTGAATAACATCTGACCCCAACAACGTTCAATTCCCACCCGTTGAGAATCTTTTTTCCTCGATCATAAAGATCCTCCTCTTCACTACCTGCCGATTCTACGGTTACAGATTCATCTTTCCCAAGGGTTGTCTTAGTGGTGGCATTTAACAACAGTGTAAAATGTGATACGATCTGTTTTGCCATTTTCTTCCTTTTTGTAGCTTCATCCCTTGTAGCTGAGGTGCTAATATTCTTTTTACTGAATTCTCCTATAAATTCTTGAACTTTTTGCCACAATTCAACCCCGCCATTCTGAAGGAAGGGGAATGTATTGACGCAGTTCTGAAACACGAAATGGAGAAATGGAGTCGGACTTTCGGTAAGTGATGACGAAGAGAATGGTAGACCAAGGGAATCTAGCGTGCCATGGCGAGACAGGAATTGGAGTTCTTTCTCAATCTGTCTTGTAATAAGTTCTTTCTTGAAATAATGTTCTTGGAGTGGAGTAAGTACAAGGGCATTCTGTGAAAGAATCTTATAGTGAGAACATGAGAATATAAGCGAAACAGGGAAGGGAAAGAAAAACGACTCACAAGCATGCTATTCGCGAGTAATTGGTTATAAATTCGAATCAAATATTAAAGTTTTTTTTGTATGGACTGAAATCAGTCTTCAACATCCCGAGATTTAACTTCGACTTGTTTAGTTTATATAATTATGCGAAGAAAACATCAACATACCCGAGTACCAATCAATCCGTCGCGATAAACTACTAATACTAAATACCGTAACAAAACAATTAAATATTTTAAGCATCAACGTGTGTTACTTTACGGATGATTTATCGATAAAGACTATACTCTAAACAACAAACAAGAGATCACTCGACGTTTGCTAAGCCTTTCTCTTTGAGTATAAATAAGAGATCTTTATTTATTAATTCTGAACAGTCCATGTATTCATATAATTGTTGTTATGCATTTAAAATAGATTACATTCATATTATTAGTAGATTTGATTGATTACATTATTAACGGCTGGCGGAGGCTTGAAGGTAGGCTGGTGATAAGCGAGATTAATAGGCGGACAATATAGGCGCTTAAATGGTTATCCGAACTGGAAGTCCGCCTGACAGAAAACCTATTAGCTAATTTCAAATTTTGGTGAAAGCTGTTTTCAAATTTTTGGCCATAACCATTTGCTGTTTAATTAAAACAAGTGATGTACCCCGACTATAACTAGTCGAAACACTGAATCGAAAATTAAATTTAATATTTGAAGATCCCCCTTCGATTTATGATTGTTATTTAAATACGAGTATCAATAGATACATCGTATTGAGAGTAAAGAAGAAGCGCGCAAATATTATCACTTATAAATTTAACTAGCCTTAATTGAACAATTGTTGTAATAACGGCAGCGATACGAGCTAAATTTAGAAAACTCCTTTCGGCAGAACACCGCCACCAGTTAAATTGGATACTGACCGTAGCAATTCTCACGTAGTGGCAAAGTCTGTGAGACTTTTACCTAATTATACACTGGTTGCCTATTCAAATTCAGAATCACCAAGGACTTGAACCATGTCAATGTTACTGATTATGATGGTGGGCAATCTGAATCTTCAATCCAAATTTTACATACTAATATGCCACTATATATTTATTAGTGTTATGGTTGTAATTAGCAATTGGTTATCCAGGATGGTGTCGCGATGAGGTGTATAAGTAGGAAAAGCCTAGTTTTAACCCGATACTTAACTAACTCAGGAGAAGCCCTTTTAATATTACGGTAACTCGTAAGGGTCAACTCGCCCGATTTGAGTTCAAACAGTATATTCGAGTTTCAAAATAAAGCCCAACCTGAATTAACAAAGGATTTCAGATACACCGGTTTGTTTGGTAGGCTTGGTGCGTACAATACATGGGGGGTCTTTTAGTCAGTGCTCTAGGGTATAGGAAGAACGTTTGTGTCCATTACCTGCAATAAATGAAGCCGCCGGTGATTTTGGAAATAAACGTAAAATAATGGAACGGTCAACTCTCTCTAAGTGCACACCTTGGGAATGGGCTGAGCGTGCATTTAAGAAGGGAGAGGGTCAGAATTTTATCGGTTGCATGTGACTATTCAATTATCATTACCGAAAATTTCATTTATTGTTGTTTGCTACCATCTACAATGAACAGAAGGCCAGTCATTACATTTTTTTTTAGAAATTACTTCATATGGGAAGGTCAATGCCATTTCAATTGCATCTGGAAAAGTTTTCTATTAGTATTAAATAATAATAAATCAAAAACTTTTAATAAAATATACTTGAATTACCTCTTAATATTAATATAACATTATTGATATCCTGCTGCTGTCTCTTTTTTTTTATCCAAGGGCCAGTGAATATCCATCATCAGCTGCAATTTGCAACATCTGGAGTGCTTCACCAAAATTTCCCGTAGCTTGGAGCTGTAAGCCAAATAATCAAACTATAGTGTATAAATATAAATTCAATCAGTAGTAGTATTAGTATTAGTGTGTAATGATGGCAATAAAATATCACATTTTTTCTTGTGAATATTAATATTAATACTTTCCAAGCATCCAGCTCCAAAAGAAAAGGGTTTTAAATACAATCTTTCTTGTATTTAAAGAACTTCTCAAAAACAATGGCTGGCACATAGTAATAGGAGCCAGATATCTTTTTTACAAAACAAAAAATTAGTATTAAATTAGACAAAACTAAATATTGTATCAAAGATAATAATAATGTAACCTACTGTTTCAGCTTGCTTTTGATATATCTATCATGCAATTTGCATGCTGGCAGACTAACCATGTTGTGGTACCCTATTTATATTACTATAAAAAAGTGCCTTATTAGTATTAGATTGTTGTTTTACTAAACATTAAGGCCACCTAATTATAATACTAATAAGTCAACTCATCAGAACAGATATAATAACAATAGGTAAATTTAGTCTTTTTTTGTACAAGCATAAAAAACAACTACCTTTCACAAACCAAGGTGAATAATCATAAGAGACTGAAAGGGCTTCTCTATTGACCAAGACTCCACACCATGGTGAAATCTAAATCGAAAATATAAATACAAATTGGGTGGAAATTAGATTCAGTATTAGTATTAGCATAAATGTTTAAATACCATTTTCAGTAAACAGGAAATTCTGGTAGATGCCTGACCCTGGATTCCATCTACACCAACATTGTAATTGTGAGAAATTGTGAGTATATCATCAACACAATTTTGAAAGACCTATTAGTATGTTATTGAGTATATTAACATTCACTAAATATAATGTTATGACCTATAATATATAATAATAATTATAATGTGACAAAAATCCTAACCTCAAAGTTTTTGTTACAAACTGCTCAATTGCCTTCATTGCCTGTTCTTGATCAGCAATGCCTTCTCATTTTTTCTGGGTCTGAGATTAGTGATGAATAGATTCATCCACTCAAGTTAGTATTTTATAATAATTATGAAATACTAATACATATGTATGTAACAATTATGTAACTCAATTACCTGAAGATGATGCATCCAGTTTTGTGAATAGAAAGAATGTGTTACCAGCCTTATTCACAGCCATAAGTGAACAAACATTATACTCTTTACATTTCAATGTTTGTTCTTTCATCACTTGCAGTAGCTTATCTTGTTTCATGCTTTCAAAACAAGGGCTAATGTCAGTTTTTCCAAACTACAAAGGTAGTAGTAGTTTTGAATTAGACTGACATCTGTGCATGGTAACATATTCTTCTGATGCACCCTGCAAATTCTGGTACAGTCCATTGCTATCCGCAACGGCATTCTCTAAAGACAATATGGACTGAACTGGTTTCAGCATAGAGTTGACACTTTCTTCGGATGGCCAACGTATTGCTGTTGATCTAGATCTTAATCTCTGATCGATAATATTTTCGTGTAACACAATTCGACGAATTGCAGTTACTGTTACATAATAATAACAACTAACCTTTCACGCTGCGGACTACATACTAATACAGAGCTTTAATTATAATAAATATCTTTGTGTTTTCTGTCTCAACAGTAAGTTCTCATGCAAAGCGTCTTTTGAGAGCTTTCTTACAGATTCTCTTCCAATTTTTGGAGATGAACTAAGCCGTGAATAGTTTCGATTTTGAATAACATGCCACTTTGTTTACTAGAGCAACAGTTTCGAACGAAGATTTCGTAAGTAGGACATATATATGTATATGGGTAAAACGGGAGGGTAATGCGAAATCTGAGATTATTCTGTTAGCAAGCCACTAGAGCTTTCCTTGTACGCTTTGAAATAAACTTTCGATTACAACAGCTACCAAGGATTATGTAAATACCAACTGTTCTTGGCAAGTTGCATTATCAATCATGAAGAGACGTGCCTCTGACTGACTTTTTTCGTTGTTATCCTCATCTTATGAAGTTGATTGAGAAATTGGGACGTAATGGTATAATGTATATATAACGACTGTCTTGTCGAAGACGCGAAGTCGATGATGACTAACTCAACAACCATGAACCCAATACTTACATACTCGTTGATGATGACTGTTATCAGCGTGTGTGCAGAAAATTGATTCAGAATATTAAGTACTATTTAAATATGACTATACCGCTTGGTTTGATTCTTCGGATACGGCGAAATCAATCTTCATCGCTAGAAACCCTAAATCAGCAACCAGGAATCTTATGCTTATAAAATTTACATGCATGTTAAACGTAACCTTGTCCATGTGTGTGCAGAAAATTAATTCAGAATATTAAGTACGATTTTGAATTTGCATATAACGATAACGATCTGCTTGATTTTTCAAAACGCTGAGACCGATTAAGAAAACCGTTATATGCAAATTCAAAATCGCTACTTAAAATTTCATGTCAATTTTTGCACACACTTGGACAACGGTTGCGTTTAACATGCATGTAAATTATACGAGCATTGAATTCTTGGTTGCTGAATTAGGGTTTTTAGCGATGAAGATTGATTTCGCGTATCCGAAGAATCAAACGAAGTGGCATAGTCATATTTAAATAGCACTTAATATTCTGAATCAATTTTCTGCACACACGTGGACAAGGTTACGTTAACATGCATGTAAAATTTATTTCTTGCTTGCTGATTTAGGTTTCTAGCGATAAATATTGATTTCATGTTTTCGAGATCATTATAGTTATACACATTGTACAGTATACACCATCACACGCTCCAAATTATTTAATTGCATCATGTCATTTTGTTAGTTCAATATTATATTAATGTTAAAAGTAATACTACCGCACATACAAACACCACGAGCAACCCCCAATTGTTCGTAGTAGTCTGACCACCACCACCGAATTTGAAATTGAAATGTTGATGCTGGTGGTGATGGCAGTTTCTACAATTGTGTACGTGTCTGCCCTGCAATACAAGTAAAAATAAGTTAACATTTGCTAAAGCAATACGTATTATAGAAGTCATCATACTAATAATAACATATAACCCCTTATAAAAGGCGGAACGCGCAACCAGCATTTGCATGTTTTCTCAGGGCAGGTGCCGATGAATTAACCCCATTGGACAAGCCATGGCGGCGGCGGCAGCATCTCTTGAGGTCAACGCAGTAGCTTTCCGCTTCTTATTGTTGGCATAATAATAATAAGTACGTTGTTTAACGGAACAGTGTTGTAAGTTGGCTCCTCATCAATAAGCATCGACATGACAGGTGCCCTATTGTCACAGTGAGGAACGCGAAGAAACTGCTGACATAATCCCATCCCATCAATTGACAGAAAGGAAAGAAATGATAGGCAATTCGTATGCTGCGTATCGATGACCGAGTAAATAAAAATACAGCGCTGTTCGATATGTCTTTTAGTATTACATCTGGTCCTCTCCTCAACCTGACTGCGAATGTGAAACCCAAATTTGAGAGCGCGATTCTCATGGCAAAAAAAAATATGTGGGCACGTGAACTCCCTCTAAACGCGACCTCTCTAAATGCACGGAAGTTTTCGGTCCCATAATGGGACTTAAGAGATAAATGCACGTTCTATATCCTGCATTGCAAGCTTTCTTCCGGTCCCATCTCTATATGAGTGTTTCTATTTGCATTACTATCCGGGAAATGGGACTGTCACTTTCCAGCCTCGCTCAATAAAATGTTATATTCGGACTAATGCTAACAAATTTATTAATTAAGGCATTTTTTAGAATTTTTATGCAAAATACAAGCCCTAGTATCAGTTATTGCTTTGTTCCCTTTAAGACGTTTGTTGCTCATTTTTTTTTTCATTACAAACCCGATATGGACAAATTATTTTTCATTTATGAGCGAACACATATTTACAGTATATTTGAGAATCCACAGCATATACACATAAAACGCGCAGACACAAATTCAAAAATTTCGAAGAGTAAAGTTATTATATATTTTTTCGTAAAATAATATATGAAAATGGGGCCGGCCGACTAAGTACAAATAAATGTAAAAAATGATAGAATATCAGAATGTTTCAAGGTAGGAAGGACGACCGGTCTACCAGGCCTGCTTATGTAAATAAAATCAAGGTGTGGTAAAAGTAGCGTCGCGTGACATATTATTCCACCAGGCCCTAATGTTATTGCTAAAAACTTTGATACACAGCTTGTAGTTCAGTAGACTGCAGTGCTATAAGAATAGTGTCTATTTTTTAACGCGGATTTTTTGAATATCAACAAAATGATAAAAGAACTATGCTTGTCGATTCTAATATATGGACGCGTTTGCGGAAAAGCCTGTTATCGGCAAGAACTGCTTTTATATGGCATGGGTGTTAAACATGCTGGAAATTATCGTAAGAAAACCAACGATAAAAAAAGAAAAAGTGAATAGCGCACGGTGTATGAGTATCTTGGCACTCAAGTAAATTAGAGGTCATCTCAACAGTAATTAATGGTACAAAAAACGCGAACTGTCCTTGCTTTTTATTCTGAATGAAACGGATACTTTAACTTTTAGGTAGGAGGGTAGAACATCAATAACATATTCCAGTAGATGGCGAACCGTCATCTATGTTACAAATTTACATTTCTGCGCGCACTAATAAACATATCATATAAAAATAGTGGCACTGCTGGCCAATACCGATACGCGGGCTTTTCCTGTTTACGAAACATAATGAATGTTCTAAATGAAAAGACAATGACCTGAAACAAACAAGCTATATTCATTCAGGAAGGTGTTCTCCCAGTTATATTAGACTAGCCAAGCAATTGAAAGTTAGCAGTATATGCTGAGGAATCTAATCTTGGAAATTCAATAAAACGGCATTAATATTAAACTTGTAATCGGGAGTAATCGAGGCGAATTCCAAAGAAGAAAGTTGCCAAGACCAAAAGAAAAAAAGAAGATTATTAACAAAATCAGGTTTGACTCTACGGGCTACTCGCTGGGCGTTGGCTTTGCCAGAAAAGAGTAGTTTGATACCACAAAGTCTCGCTATTCTTTCTGTGCTTTTCGTGCACAGGCAATATAAAATTGTTTTGGAACAGACAGAATGTTTATAGTTTATTAATATTATATAATTTAATCGTTTTCTTTTTTTAAAATACGCGCTGATATGTTTTTCATACAAGTCACGTATGTCTACATCGTATCTAATAAAGACAGCAAACTCATTCTGTACGAATTTTCTTACTCCTTGTCCCATTGCTTTTCAAACTTCCTGCACTTCTCTTTTCAGCCAAACCCTGAGCTCTGAAGAAATCTTTTCTTCTCTCCTTTTCTTTTTCTCTTGTTATGCTTTCCTCTTTTGCCAACTTTTTTGCATGTTCAGCTCTTTTCTGTGCTTGTTTCTCTTTCTTCTTTCGGTTCTTTTCCTTCTTCAATGTCTGTATTTGCTGCATAAGTGTATATATCTGCTTCTCTTTTGGTTCTAAAATGACAGCTCGCTTTTGAAGGTAAGATTTCTTCGAACGAGCTTTTAAAAGTTTGGGTTTGGATGCAAAAGGTAGTTGTGATTGTAGTGATTTGGCAATGTGGAGAGGGTTGAAACGGCGAGTGGGTCGATCTATTGGCTACAGGGAAGAAAATAGTTGTGAGAATGATATCTTGATGGTGACATTAATTTATAATATGAATATTTGACTTACGCGATATGTCGAGTCAGGATTGTTTACTATTGGTACGCCAAGTTCTTTACGCACGCTACCAATCAATCGCATCCCTTGCCAATCTGTCTTTGAAGACAGTAGTAGAGATGTCACGGGGTTGCAGTATTTCTTAGGTTTTACAGGATACCATGCACGAAGGAATACAATATCTAACAACGTATGATAAAGTGAGTATCCTCAAGACGAATCGTACAACCAAAGCTTGCTATTTATAAACCTACCGCTCATTAATATCTTATCCTCAAAAGTTGCGCGGAAACATCCATCTGATCTCTGTTGCAAAATTAAGAACCGTTATCAGCACACAATAACGAAACCTTGTTAATAAAATTATATAATTTACCGGCAAAGGTTTCTTCACTTGTCCACGAATACCAGACACTGTTCGTATAGCAGCTCCCTCAAATTTAGCCACCTCTAAAGCTGAATTAAACATATCTTTTATGAAGGCTGTATTCTTGAATATCTTGTAAGGCGTGCCAGTTAATTTTAATTTCTTGACGATTTCAACCGAGTGGTTGATATCGAGAATAACCCCCGTTGCACTTATGCGAAAAGTTGACTGGTTTTCCCCAGACACAGACTGCACCGCACAAAAACCCGTATTCGGCGGATGTATAGGACCGTAGAACGTTGCTGTGCAATGCATATGTTCCGGGGTGTATTTTAGCATCCTGTTCCGGGTTCCATCGCTTAGAGAATACACAGGCATTGTTTGGAATCGACGCCATCCAAGTGAGAATATGAGCGGGTCGTTTGTTTTTAAAATTTTTTTGTGCCAACGATGACGTTTTATTCGTACCTAATAGTGAGACAATAAAACTAGTTATATAAGATGATAATCATATGAATATCGGTTTTAACAATGACTCACTCGAATAAATCCAAGATTCTCTTCGTTAGACGACAAACCACCAACGATAATGGGATAGATCGGATCAAAATGCTTCACAAACTCACAGGGCATGTTCCTTAGCAAAATTCTAAGGTATGTACCCGGACAGTATCCTTCAACCATGGCACGAGTAATAGGATCATCATTTTCAAATTCCGCGCGATTAAGTTCTAATTGTTTGGCTATTCCTTCCTTAACTTCATCATAGTAACTCATTGCGGGGGTATCTTCTTCTTTGTCATCGTACTCCGCATCAAACTTTCTTTTTAATTCCTCTTTCTTGCGAGAAAGCTCTTCTTGATCAAGCTCTTCTTTTGTTCGTCCCGGTTCGGATGTGCCTTTTACGATTTCACCAGTTTCCAAATCCTCAAAGTCGCCATAAAGTTCTTCATCGTCTCCTTTATCTTCAAGTGAACCCGTTATAAATCTATTTCGTATAGCTTCAAGTGTCTACTAGTAACGTAATCTTAAAATAAATACCAAAGAGTGCGCTCAAATTCACTTGTTACATGACAAATTACCTCTTCTTGGTCCCATTCTGCTAGCGAAGCTTTGTCAATACTAGACTTTACGGAATCCACCTGATTTAACGAGACAACTTCCTTTCTATCAGCTTTTTTGAGTGTAATTAAATCATCCTCATCTTCCTCTTCCTCGTCCATTTTTTCTAGCGAGTCCTTCTCATTAGAAGAATCGTATTCTCCGTTGGCTATGTCTTCTGGACTTTTGCCGCTGTCGTATATCAGCTGCATCAAGTTGACGCGTCTATTTGCATGAAACGTTTCTTTTGCCTTTTCTGCCAAATTAGACTTCCATTTTAAAGCGCTATTCATGTATCCATCATCAAATTCTTGCTCAGACATAATATCATCAAGGTCGCTATCGCTTTCAGCAAACGCTATTTCTTCGCCATCAACATCGTCTCCTGTAATAATGCTGACTTCGTGTTTGTCTAATGCCACTCTCCTTTTCCTTTTCTCTGGTTTATCATCATTTCTATAATCAATAGTGTCCTCTTCGTCGTCGTCGTCGCCATCATCATGATCATCATCATCACCATCATTATCATCGTCATCATCACCATCATCATCATCATCATTGTCGCTATAATTGTCGTCCTCATCACCACCATCATCATCATTGTCGCTATAATTGTCGTCCTCATCGCCGTTGCCAACGTCTTCTTCGCTCAATAGTTCCATACTTGCAATGCCATCCTCGGCCTCACTCAATTCCTTATCCGTCTCATTTTTATCACCTCCCGAAAAAACAACTTTTCGACGCCGTCGTCCTGACTCCTCTTCAACGGATTCTACCGATCCTGTGGGTAACAAAATAATTGTAAAGTATACTTCTAAGAATGAACAAATTCACTACTGCCAATTCTGACGCAATATATTAACCGCCAATCAATCCTTGAACTATTGCACAAACATCTTGCATAGTCAACAGGGCAGGCCCTAACCGGAACAAACTTTAACGTCTGGTAAGGAATAGGCACGCAGCAGCAGCATTATAAGACGTTTGTTTTGACAGTACGTACTATTGGCCTCTTCCTCTGTCAACAAGCTTATATTTAATAATAACGATGACATACCCTTGAATGATGTACTATGAAAATCACTATCTCCTTCCGATTCTGATCTGTTAGTCAAGTCAGCAGCTTTCAAAGGTTCAGACCTCGTGAAGACACGTAACTCACTGTCTTCAAGTCGAGATGCGAGTGTCTCTGGTGCGTCTTGCAGATTAATAACCATTTTTTCCCCAGCGCCTTGTTCTATGCCTTCTTCAAAAAACGCGTGGTATGATTTAGGAAGACATTTTAGTATTACAAGTTCGTTTCTACATCCATCAAGCCATAGATGCGTACGTACCTTGATTAGCCTTGGTGAAATTTCCAGGAACGTTTATATAAACGGCATCTTTATCGTAAAGAATGCCTCCGACATCGGACATTGGAGCATATATGTATTTCTGCTTCTCACTTAGACTCCTGCGAACCTTATCAGGCAATGGACAAGGATCGGGCAGCGGTGATACATCACTCAAGTAATAATCGCCTGCACCAGGTATATGCATTTTCATATTCGGTTTAAGATTAATTCCGTGTAAATAACCATACAATGTCACTGTACGATCACATAAGGGATTCTGTCTAACTTCTTCTGGATCAGTTAAATCCTCTACACGGTCAGCAACCAAATATGGATGTGCGTTTCTCCAAATCAAGGGACGAAATTTCATTACTGAAATAAAGCGCGACAAATTCAGTATTTCCATGTTCGGATATCGACCGTTGATTACACCTGACAAATAGAATAACTTTGCCCCTTGATATATTTCAGTCCAAAAGCGGTGTTTTAATCTTTTTTTGGTAGCTCGAAGTGTTTTCATTTTCTTAAACTTGTCGAGATGTGTGAGTACGCCCATGATTTTAGGAAACCCGTGGACTTGAAGTATATTGAGAAATTCAAAGGTTTCCTGATGAACAGTCAATTTTAAACATTGAACGAAATAGACAAATTACGAGGGTGGGAGAAAAAACCATTCTACTTACCATCTCAAATCCAAAACTAGCATCGATAAGTAGTAACACTACATCGGCTATTTTTGCTACATCAATCATACAGTTGAGATCGTTTGCGCATTCTATGAAAGTCAGCCGCCGTTTCTTGCCTGCAGATCGCGACAGAGCAAATACAGACGTTGGTTTATATCAACTGTGCAAGGAGCTCAGAGTGTTTGTGTTAAAATAATACTCATGTTGGCAGCGAACGTAATCGTTACCACTGACAACTGTTATTGGTCCTTTGATAGTTGTGAGATTATGTTTAGTATAACGCTTCACGAGCGATTTGATCAAAGTCGTCTTTCCAGTCTGAAATCATACGTTGACATCAGTAAGCTTCTGTAGATCAGAGCGATAAGCAGAATTGAGGTAAAATTACCTTTGGTGGTCCAACAACGGCTATAATTGCAGGCGGTGGTTCCAGCGGAGTTCTGTCGACTAAAGGAACATGAAGTCTCTTCTGCGTGAGTTCCACTTTCCTACGCGCAAGTTTTTCGGCTTTCCGACCAGATCGTGGAGCAAAAGCCTATGTTGGGAGACCATACAAAATTAACATGAAAGATTCGCTGCAAAGTTATGTTACATAATAGTACCTTTGGGTTATGTTTTTCATCATTTTTGGTTTTCTTCTTGTCTTTCTTTTCTTTTTTTGACCCAGCCTGTCGTGGTCGATGCGCTTTCTTCTCTTTATCATCCATGATAATATCGCGCGATCTAATTGTGTCGGCGTTTTTCTTTTTTTTTTTTTTTGAGAAAAATTCTTGTATCACATGATCGAATTTAAAATATAAAAGCGGGCTTTGGCGGTTTTCCGTGGTTGTCAATAAAGATCCTATAAAAACGAATTTTAACAGAACTAGTCCAAGAGATTTAAATGAGCTAACATACGTACTTGCAAGATGAGTTGTTGAAGAATATTATTGATTTAAAAAAAATTTTTTATGTAAAATTTTTAAATTTTTGCAAATTATGCTTCATGGAAGATGTGATTATTCTTCCAGTTTTTTATGTAAATCTAAAGAGTCAAAGATCTCAGTAAACAGATAAACTAGTGAGGAGTAATGACCATTTGAAGACAGACACCTTATGCCTCCAACCCATGACAGACAAAATTGCTTGCATGTCCAAGGGCATTGTTACTATGCTATTTTTACATAATGTATTATAAAAAGGGTTTACGGTATCTTGTTTACGCAATTCTTATGAACTACAAATGTGTAAGTTAATATAGGTGTAAACTAACAAATTGAAATCCATTTCACTCTCCAAACCAACTAAGTATTGTGAGTCTGACGTAGCTTCAAAGTCGCTCGAATAAGACATTTTTTCTACAAATAACAGTTTACAACGTTAAATGTATGGATATTGTAATGTTTATTAGCACCATCGGCGGTTGATCGATAAAATATACAGTCAAGACTCGATATAGTCAAGTCGACGGGACGGGGGTTTTTCTTGACTATATCGAATCTTTACTATATCGAATATTCTCGTTATAGTAAAGTTTATATATACGTGGCATAAATCTTTACTATATCGCGACTGGCCAGTCTTGTGGTAGCATAATAATAAATGGCTCAAACGTTATTTTGACTGAAAGATTCAATTGTGCTGAACGAATGTTCTGATACTAAGTCATTAACGGAGAAAATGTCATACCGTTCAATTATTAGTAACTTCTTGATTTGATCAAAGTTTCATAATTTATTAAAGCCATTTCAAAAACGAAAAAAAAAAACACACGTAAAATTGACTATAGCACCTATTATTAATGTTTGCGAACAAACATATCCAACACGCTTTGTTTTCTCGAAGCAAATTCTTTAGAAACAAGTTCTTTTATATAATATCGTTTTTTAAAATTTGTCAACCATCCTTTGGAGGCGTTAAAATCTTTTATATCGAGAGCTTTTGCAAGTTTTT